TTTCCCTGTCTCCCACATCATCTCAATGTAATCCTTAGTTGCTTCTGCACTTCATGCTCCTGCACTCTTGGAAGTGGCTATTTGTCACAAAAAGCTTGTTGAGAAGTTGGATGGACACCCAAATTATTTTTATGTTGTTCCTTCCCTCTACGCTATAGCCAGAAAAGAATGTCAACCACGGAACTGAAACCTGTGGGAGAACACAGTCCTAATGCTTTCAAATTTGGTATTACCCGTATCTTTGTGACAGCATCCTCTCTTTCTACATATTAAAGAGTACAGGGTTTTTGGTTTGGTTCAAGTCTTCTCTGCTTGGTTCTCCATTGTTCTAAGACATAAGCTAAAGCTGAGCAGAGGTATAGGCTTTTCATTTGGATGCTCACATAGATTTGCATCTTACCAGTGCTATGAACACCTCAACAACCATATATAGATGTCCTTAATTTTTTTACCTTTTGTAACACTTCTTGTAAAATTGAAGCTAGACCTTTATCATAAAGCTTGTGAGTCTTAATTGAATTTGTTTATCCCTCTTGAACAGATTTGGTCCGTTGAGGCATCTACTCCAAGAAGTTACAACTTAAGCAGAAATATCTTGGAAAATACACATATATGATGTGCATATATACATTCACTGTCCCCAGTACTCATCAGCCTCATATGTGTACTTACTTTCAGGGTGTGCAGGGTGTCTGTCCATTCCATGGAACCTATCTGAGGTATAGCAGTTAGGAGTATGCTAGTAGCCTTATTTGCATTCCCTTTCAGTATCTTTAAAACTTTATCCACCGAAACCTAGAAATACAATAAAACTGAGTTGTGTATCTCAATTTTGATGGCACACATTTTAAATACTCAAATAAATTAATTTAACTCATACAACTCTGTTAACAGGCAAAACCTTGACACACCACAATTGTTTTAGCCAGTAAAAACTTTTATGCTGTGGGTGTGCATCTCATTATATTTCACACAAAGAGAACTAAAGCATATACACCATTTTGCAAAGAGCTGCAAAAGAAAAATCACCAGATTAATTACAGGAAGACAAGTTCATACACAGAGCTCACAATCATCATACATACAGACCCCCTGAGTCAGACAAGAGGAGACAAAAGATTTACTAGTAGCAAAGCATATTTATGAAAATGAACAAGACAGCAACAATTCATTCTGTTCTTTCACAATCATCAATCCAGAATAACTCAGTGATACTGATGCAAGTAAGAAAATAACTTAGTTCAGGATGTGATCTCTATCAAAACTGACAGGTTCTCATCCAGATCCCTCAGGACAAGAACCAGAGGAAAAGTTTCACTTACTGCTTCTTCGTGTTCCTTCCAGCAGTCGTAATCTGTTGCCATGGCAATACTAGCGTAACTCATTCCAGCTTCTTTGGCAAGAATCACTTCAGGCACTGTGGTCATGTTGATGACATCAGCTCCCCAGCTGCGAAACATCAAGCTTTCTGCTCGAGAACTGAAACGAGGACCTTCAATTGTGATCATTGTCCCCTTGGAATGACACTGGAGCCCAAGCTTCTTGGCAGTCTCAATAAGAATCTGCAAAACATGCCAATATTGGGAAATAATTTCCCTGGTGCACTGCTTTTGCATCCCATACATACAAAAGAAATTAGCTTTGTACAAAGCAGTCCAGCTTTATATGGTCACAGCTGTCCAAAACCATGGATCAGTTTCAGTTTCCTTATCCAGCAAGATAAATCAGTAGTCCTACTAACAGGAATTATCTTGAACTCATGTGGTTTTGTCAGTATCAGTTGGATTACTGTTTTCTATACAGAACAGTAAGACTGGAAAACAGTAAATTTTTGCATGTTATTTAGGCTGTGCTTACACTGAGAACAGTATGGTGAAACTGCTCCACTTAACATTGCATTATAGCGTGGTGGAGTTAAGCTGGTGAGAAAAGTACTTTTGAAAGCCAAACTTACAAGCCTATACTTCAAAGAGTACGCTGAGAATTTGCAGAGAAATTATAACCACATTATGCCAGTGACTGGGCATATACCGTGACTCTAGATATACCACATAATTCACAGTCTTTACGGCTCCAACTAGGAACTTTTATACAGCAGAATCATTGTGACTTTCTCCCTTGGTAAATGGCCTAGCTAACATCAGTTGATTATAGTTGAAATAAGAGTTTACCAGCACATGCAAATGGGACTAGGACACCCTGACAAGGACAACTGTCCTGAGTAGGAAGGGAAAAGTAACTCTGATTACATGCATTTAAAATGGCCATAATAAGAAAATTAAAAAATTGAAAATAAGTATAAAAGCAGCATGAAAAAATGTGACAGGACAGGAGAGACCTCCACAAAACAGCAGCCATAAAAATATATTCTGACACCACAGGAAGCTATCTTGTCAGCACCATCACCTTCACACAGGACAAGTGGAGCAGCCTCCATGCCAGTGCTTTGGGAAACTGACACTTCAGCTGGTTGGAGCATCCATACATCCTACCTTGAGCGTGCTGCATGACCTTGTGGGCTGCCTCCTTGCTGGCATATAGATCAGTGGGTTGTGTGCAGTAGCCCAACTACATGTAAAGCTGGAGTACTCACATCTCCCACCACAGACGCATGTGAACAGGTAAACATGCACTCCCATGAGTGGTGGGTGGGAAGAGGGAAGTGGGAAGAGGGTGGGTGTGCATGTCACCCACCTGTGCTGGGGAAGGGTATTTTGTACAGGTAAGTGGATTAACATGTGTGCAAGGGCAAAGCAGAGCTGTCAGGGATTAGCCACAGCAGTCAAATGTTAATCACACCTAATATTGTGGTTTATTGCTGAAATTAATTCCAGATGTATGATTGACTGATTGCCAGTTAATCACAGTTAATCACAGTGTTAATAAATCAACAGACAACTTCAACTGTGGTTTGACTTAAACCACAGTTAAGCAGTATTTCCTCAAAACTCTTTATAAAGTTCCAGTGTTTAGTCCCTATAAGATGTTACACTGAGCTTCATTTTCTAAAAGCAGTAGTATCCAATGCACCCTACATTATTAAAAAATTTACAGTTGGGGAAAAGATAAACACCTTTCAGATTATCATTTAATACACAGTGTTTAAACCAAATAAAATGGAATATTTTCATGTATTTGCATTAATGTAATTTAAGTGATTTAAGCTTTTTAATGTAATTTAAGTTTTCAGATTTTTCACACAAAATTCCTCAATTAGTCTGTTACATTAATAGTTTTGGTTTTATCATTATCACTTTATCTATGAAATTCCCCTGAATTAAGGCAAAATGGGATGAAATTATTCCAATCATGTTCAGGGACAGTTCCAGGAAAAAAGTTTAAGGCACTTTTATCTGGTATTTTCAAATGAAGCAAAAGCATCTCTTTTCAGCCTTGTTAAGAGCTCAAACCCACATGTTCTTTGAAACATCTGTTATGCTGATAAGAATGCATGGGCTAATGAGATAATGATCACATGTGAGACTGGGAAGTACCTAAATGTTTTTTCTCTGTTTGAAAAGGAGCATTTCTCTGTCAGTTTTTCGAAAAATGTAATACACAAAGAACATTGTCTCTACTTCACTGAATGAAAACTAGCCCTGGTGTAAGTTTCCTGCAACCTCAGGAAATGGCCTATGCAATTTATACTTGCCTTTTTTAAAAAATTAGAAAGAGAGATAGTGTGAAGTACTGCCAATCACTTCAGTAATAACACTGTTTTTAATTGGTTTCACAAAGTGCACAGTTAGCTCTCAGTAAACTCCCTTTGCTTCTATCATTACGTGACACGATGTTTGAAGTCAGTTAGCAACTATATGCCCGTCAAACTTTGGTTAGACCATGGGGCTATGCACTTGTTGCATGAAAAGCACAAAGTATTTTGTGTAATTTGATGTTCAATGGAAGAAGAGAAAAGCCTGCACTTGCATATGTAGTGGTTTGTTTCCTCATGAGACTTAAAATATCTTTACTTCATTGCACAACACCTTGATTCCCAGTGTACTGAAGCACTGTTCTAACAGGGCTCTGCACCTGCTGATGGGTAGCTCAAAACCACACTTTGTCTGGCCAATTTACAAAAATAGCCTATAGTGACACTGAAGCAAACTGGTGATGAGCGCAGAACAGCTTAGTAGCACAAGTTTTTGTACATGCTTTGGGCACAGACTGGGCCACCTGCTTCACAATTCATCATTGTCCTGCTCAGTGTAGTAACTGACTGGAGAAAAAGAGTCTCTTAGATGGATATGACTGATTCTGTAAGCATCTCTGGGCCCTGGAGCACCTACCTCCCTGAACCTTCTGATCATTCCATAACAGCATTCCATAATAAAATGCCAGGTCTGTCTTCGCCTTCCCTTTTCCTCAGGTCTAAGAATATGCTGTTGTGGTATATTTAATCACATATATACTTCTCCCAGAAGCTTACAAATGTGTTGAAAAACACAGCAGTGTTTATACTGCTTAGACTAAGTCTTTTTGAAACCTGAAAAAGCTTGAAGTGCCAAAACTAAGAGTAACAGGTAAGAACAGAAGACTACTGTAATTTAGTTTGTTTCTACATTTAGCATCCTTTAAACTAAACTTTGACTCTCTACTACCACCCACTGCTACAACGCACAAAACCACAAATGTAGTATTGTAATTTCTGTGAATACTGAAGTGCTATTTACTTAATTCTTTGTATTAAGTATGTAAAGTGCCTCTACCACAGGTGCAGTTTTATTCAGAACATAAAGGGAACTATTTCCTAATTCTGTCTACCTGCTCTGTCACTTTGTTGCTCTCCTGGTTCTTTACCTGATAAATAAAGATGTTCTGTTCTGTAATTAAGATCTCAGAAAAATCTAGATTGCCAACTGACATCTTCTGCAAACTTCCCTTAGAAACACAGCTCCTATAGACACAAGGTGTTTTACTACCCACACCTTCCATTTTTCCTTAATACCATGACACATTCTCAGAAACAGGATTAAAGAGATGCAGATTGCCTCTGCATTCTAAGAATGTACAATTAGACTGTATCATGAATAAGCACTATAACAGTATAACTTCTAAATACTACTACATAACTCACTAACCTCTCTGGTTTTGGTGCAGAATGGTTCTGCCATTGGAATGTGACATACTCCTGAAAGACTGGAATGCTGCCCATCGTATAAAGTACAATGTCTTTTAGTTGTCCTAGAAAAGCAGAAAACATGTTCAGAAGGAAGAATGGAGAGAAAATGGAAGAGAAAGCAAGATTAATTACACAAATCCAAAAAAACTGCTTTCCTAGGAGGAAACAAAAATATCAGAATTACTTTAATGGCTACTTGCAATACTGTTTCACTTTGGTACAAACCTTTCAGAATTGAGCTCAAGAGTATAGCAGTGTTATTACAGGAGAGCATTCTCAATTAATTAGAGAAAATCTATAGGTCACAAGACACTGCAATGCTGATTTGCTTCTAACTGACACAAACAGCCTCATCATGCTGTGGTTCTACCCAAAAGAAATTAGCTACGTTTAATAGTTAGGCAAGTAATCTCTGAAAAAAAAGAGCACAGCAAGCTTTGAGGAGGGGAAGGGATCAAGTTTGAATTGCCACAAAGCTAGAGCTTGTTCCTATCATTGCATTACTACATTGAGAGGATGGAAATTCATATGAACAGCTTCCTGAACAAGAGAGGTGTGAGGTTTTTCTGAACCAGAAAAAGCAGCAACAGGATGTCTTCAAATTCTCAGAAAGACTACACATACACATTGGCAGCCTGCAAAATAGAAGGATCCTTTTTCTCCCTTTTTTCAACTGAGAAACTGTTTTCTCTCCTGGAAATGGTCAAACATGCTGCAGAATTTACTGTCCAGCATGCTATTTTGACCACTACTGAAACTGTTACCTGCTATCATTATATCTTCAAATGCACTGGCTGAAGCTAACTCAGACAACTGGATGACAAAAACCCTCTAGAACAAAATTCTTTGAGACATTCCCTTCTTCCTCCCAGTGTGTCACATATCGTACTTTATAGGGGAAAAGACATGAAATGGCCAAATTCAATCCATGGTTAAAATACAAAACTTAGTACAAAATTAAATGCATACGCAAAATGGGCTACAGTTGTTAATATGTGTTGAAACACTAACATTAATTTTCCTTTAGGGGATACTGAAGATCTGCAAATAGAATATATCTGATTTTACACACTTTTTTTCAGTGTCTCCTAATAATTATTTAGAATTGGAGGAAATGGGAAAAGCCACAGTCCATTTCCTTAGATGTTGTTGCTCAGGCCCTTTCACTCAGAAAAGGCCTGAAGAAAGATCAAATATGTACAAATATTAATCTCTGACTTTGAGGTATCCTATGTCCTTTGGAGAGAATGGCCATATCACTACACGACCTAAAAAAGAAATGCCACTATATTCAGCACCATACACAGAAACTGTACGGGAATAAGTAACAATAAGACCTATAACTGGTCTGAGGAATGGATAATGTGTGTTTGCAGTCAGAATGAAACAATTTCTCTACTGAAGGGAAGGCTGCAATCCTGTAAAGGCCAGTGCTATTCTATATGGGGCCAGCTGATGTGTCTAAGTTCCTAGGCTTAGGGAGAGAATTAAGGCAGATTTGAACCATTGGCCATTCCTAGCAAATAAATAATGCTAGCATCTATCCTTGTTTTAGGACAACCTCATCTTTCCCCACTGTGTTGCATTTGATTTCTCTTCTGTAGAGCCTCATCATTACTGAATATATTTTCCTACCTGGTACCTACTAGGCTTTCTTATGCTTCTCCATCTCATTTCAGATTCGTCTTACAACTTAGAACAGCCAGTGCTCTTATCCATGTTCCTCCCCCGCATCTGAGAACAGGAGATCTCTTCTCAAAGGAAGACTCTTCCCAAGGAGCTACACTTCAGTTAATTTGAGGCTCTTTTGAAAAGCCTGGTATTTCTTCTGTGACCATTAGAGCTAAACTTCTTGTAATCTCATAACTGTTTCCTATCTTGTCTTCCTGTATGAATCACACCATTTGCCATAAGAACCAAGGCTAAGAAATGTTACTCACCTGTCAATGAACTGGTCAATTATGACAAGATCACCAGGTTGTATTTCTTCTTGTAATGAACCACAGGCAGTAGTCACTAACACATGTGAACAATTTTCTTCTTTTAATGCCCAGATATTGGCACGGTAATTGACGTTTGATGGCATAATTGTATGATGCCTTCCATGTCTGTCAAAATACATGTTGCAAGAGAGGAAAATAAATCAGATTGAAATGTCCTTCTTTCTTCCAGATAAAGAGAATTCCAGGAAATGTAGTTTCCTTAACAGTACTGGAAGTCAAAGTGAACCTTTCAGCTACTTCCAAAGTAGCTTGTTTTCCTAACTGTGTTAAGGTTCTTTCAGTGTTTAAGTAGTGGTGAATTTTTCTTTTTAAGCACAAAACTTTCAAGTTCAAGACTTGAAAAGTCTTGAAAAGAGTGAAAAGAACATGGAAAATTCAATCCAAATATACTTCAGCAGGTTCAAGAGTAGAAAAAGCATTTTTCTTTGCATTTTGTAAGTCAGTTCAATAGAATCCAAAGATTCCACAGAGGTGTAGCAAATTCAATCTTCCATAAACTACAACAAATGCATAAAATTTATATACACCTCTACAAATTTTGTGCTTAGAAGTGCTGCTTTTATTCTCACATCCAGAAAAGAGTGGCATGTCACAGGAAATTAGAAAAAGAAATAGCACACTGTTTTAATCTGTTGGCTTCACAGAGAAAACAGTAGAATCACCACATTTTTCTCTTTGCTGTTAAAATTATTTGACAGCTTTCAAAATTAGAAAAATCACTTCATATCATTGCAGCATATTTTTCTTCTCCAGCACCAGAAATACTTAAGTCTTATAAGCACAAGCTTTTATGATATCTCTGTCATCACTGCTAAGGTACATCTCTCACATAATGATTGAATGCATATGAAAATTATTTTCAGCCGTGTAAGAGGGAAGAAAGGGCTTAATTTCCTGATTTATTCTTTCACAGAGACCAAAAGGTTTTAAGAACTTGATCAACTGGAAACTGGAAGTTGCACATAACATGAACAAGTACTGACAGGCAGGATTCCCACGTTGTCATTAGCACTTCTGAGAAGCTACTAGGCATGTAGATTCACTGTTTCATATTGCAGTCACTGTAATAATCATCTTCCAGCCTTCATTTTTAAATTCAGTATTCATGAGCAGCTTGTTATATTTCCCAAAACACAAAGTGAAGCTGCAGATACTTTAGCCCCAAAAAGTAAACTCACAGGGTCATATGTGTATGGTCATAAATCCCAGTGGGGATGTAAAGCACCGCAGAGTTGTTCAGCCATCTGTAGCTTGCGACCTACTTTGATACAGCACAGCTATGAGAGCTTAGCTTAACATTTAATTTGAGAAAATGAGAAAAGTGTTGTTCAGGTGTAATAAAACACATATGCAAAATCCATACAAGATAAGAAAGTGAAAACAGCCAGAAGTGCAGCTGCAGACATGGCAAGTCAGTAGCTTAATGGAAAAACACTGGCACTAGTAGAACCAGGGCACTGAGTGCACCTCTGGGTGCTAATTGCTCCGGCCAGCCTCACCCTAGGCCTCTACCCCAACACCAGCTGTCTGTAAGACTTGCTGCTCTCTCACCTCTATGCTCTGGCCCCAGTTTTCACTCCTGCCCTGAGCTACGTCACAGGTGTGCCGGTCCCCAGATGTGGCTCCTAGACAGCCTTCAGGCCTGTGCTGTAGTTTCTCTCAAGACCTCTCTTCTGGATGGACTTTGGTCACATGCTGCAGACTTATCTCCAGCCCTGTCTCTGGTCACATCTCCAACTGCTTGGACTCCCTGAATTGATTTTGGACTTAATTCATCACCCTCACTTGTCTGGACACTGGCTCTATTAATAAAAATGATCCAGGGAGGGAGACCTACAGAGAATGCAGCCTCCTAAGCAGTAAAGGTAACAGCCAGAGGACTAAACCATCAAAGATCATTATTTTGAAGAGTCTACAGTGGTACTAGACATACAGCTCATCTGGAAACAGGCAATTTCCCAGTTTCATGAAGGAAATGTGCAAACCCAGGGAGCACACTGATTACTGAGGCTACCAGGCACCACCTACCTAGACTAGCAACTACACAGAGCAAGATGAAGTCAAAGTTAAAACTCAGTTCACCTGCTGTAAAAAGAGAAGTACTTTTGGGATAACTTTGAGTCACACAATAGAAAAGTCATTAAATCCTCATTTACCTTGCCAACAGCACACAGTCCACATTTTTAATCTTTCCCAATATCAAAGCATCTGATGGCTGGAAAACAAGCAAAGAATGAGTTACAGCCTGACAAGCACACTGAAAACCTCCACTGCTACTTACAAATAAACAGATTAGTTATGAAAGGAAATACAGGTTATCACTTGTAGTCTCACATTTTCTTCAGCTTGGGTCTGTAATTTGATACGGCAGATTAGTAAAACAGTCTGGAACAGGAAGATCAAACTTGACACCCGAAGGATTAGCACAATTTTTCCGTGCTTGTACTAACACTAGTATTGCAATTCCTTTCTTCGCGGCTTGAAACAGTAATACTTTCAAACACTTTGAAACAGTATTTCAAACAGCGCTACACTATGAGAGGAAAAAACCCCTGCACATGCCGCTTTGAACTGGTTAGCATGTTTCACTCTATACTTTAAACTTTGGTTACATTTTTATTAACCGTGCAGTTCCTTACTAGAAGTCATCTCCCAACAGAAGTTACATTTTCTCCATCCCTTTCTGTAACACTTCCTATTCTCTTCTCTGTCCCTTTTCTAGCTCGGCCCCCGAGCTCACATGGGGCGTGTGGGGAGGAGTCCTAGATTCCTCCAACCCACCCTCCACTCCCCTCAGTTTCCTGATAAGCTCCCTGCTGGTGGGAGTCCCACTTTGGGTAAGTGAACTATGATATGACAGAGAACTTCAGGCAGCAGAAGCAGTGCTTCATATGGTCAGCCCAGGAACCAGGAGGTAGAACACGCAGTCTCCTCTCACAGCTACCCAATGAGAATGTGCATTACTCCTGACTAACCAACTGGACAGACAGCTTTAGTTGCCCACCAGGGACACATGCCCTGCCTTGGAGATGGTCATATTGCCCACACAGGGCAGCTCTCAAGTCATCAACCACCACTACAACAAATTAACTGCTCTCTGGGCTGTATGCATCAGGGATCTGAAATACACGATGCCTCTAGCTTCTCTTTTTGTTACAAAATGTAAGGCCTCTGTGAAATTAGATACTAAACCACATTTGTGCTGCTGAACAGCAGTGGAGCTGGATGTGCTGCTTCTCCTGCCCAATTCAGAACTGCAAACATTTCACCCTTTTATTTCAGTGTAAAAGTAACTGAGCAAGCTGGAAGCCACTATGAGCCAATCTGTCCTTCCATGCCTTTGGATTTAAAGCTAAAATAACTATTAGCAGAATTACGATTTTTTTACAGATCACAACTTTGCAAGTGTCTGGAAGGACTCATATATGCATCTAGAAATGTTTGATTGCCTGCTATGTGACATACTTTTACTTGTATGTTAATGTTTGCTGTAAGATTTCAAATAGCATTTAGTTTTACAGCTGTTAATTCTATTACACACTATTACAATCTGCAGAGAAATAGAATAAAGTAGTGCATGACTACATAGCTACATACATTATCTCTAGAATTCATAGCTGCATTTTAGAGATAATTTCCAATGAAAACATCACTTTCTACTCCCTGTTGCACAGCTCTTTTTGGTAATTTTTAATGTGGCATAACTTTAAAGCATTGTAATTTATTCCATCACCTGCATTTAAATTCTGCCAGTCATAGATTTACCACGTTATTTTAATATACAGGGAATGTTCCAGAAAATGTTTTTAGAACTGTACTGCATTCTGACTTAAAAGTCTCATCTTAACATTAACCTATTGACATTTAAACATTTAATGTATTTACCCTACTCTTCTGAACCAGACATGGCTTTAGGAGTGAAATTTCTCACAGGGCAAAAGCCTTGCTGTCTAGTTGCCAAGGCAATAAGATATTGCAACATTCCATAACAATGAGGGTTCACAATAACTAGTACTTAGCAGTTTGTCTTTTGTGTTTTGAGAGCATTGTGTGACATAACAGGCATGGAACTTAGCTCACACTAGGATACAAAAGTATTCTTAAAACACTAAGGAGGACTTCAGCCAAAATTCCTTGCCTCCTATGAAAATGAAAAGTACACTGCTAATGCAGCAAGAACTCAATAGCATTAATATTGTAACAGGCTTCAACCTCTAGTTGCAGCAGACTGGATTTCCTTCCCTATCTGCTGTCATGCTAGTCACTGCAAACGGCTTCAGGGTGGCCGTGTAACAGCACAAGTTGTCATCTTTACACAGATTTCCAGACCACATTAATGGCATCTTGCAGGTGACTGCCTGAATAGCTTTCTTGCAGACTAGAAACATGGCAGAGAAAAACAAAGATTTTGAACAAAGAATACCCTGCTAAATGATGAACTGACAGCTTAAGAAAAGAATTTGCAGATACTGCATCATGGGTCATTAAAAGAGAGGAAATAAGGATAACTTAGCACGCGTAAAGGTACAAGGAAGTGAAAGATACAGCAATTTCAAACTGTGTTAACCATGTAAGAAAGCTAGCGCATGCTTCCATTTGCTATGGTTCTCTCTCCCACAAGTTCTTTCCAGCGCTGTACCTGTCTACTATTATCTCAGTTGGAGTCAGGAGCTTTGAAATGATGGTAAAATAACAAAAAATTTCAGTGGAACAAAGAGCTTAAAGCTCTAATAGGATTTAATAAAAGCCCCAATGAAGAGTTCTCAAACATTAATAATTAATATATTTAACTACTTCACTCTTCAAAAAAAATCCAAGTAATTTATATGTTAGTCAGTGTTGCAAAATAGAAAAGGAAGTAAAGAACCCTGGGCAGTCAACCCAGGGTTAAAATTATGACAGCAGCAAGCAACTGAAATAAATTCCCTTTGTCTGCAACATAAATATGTGTGAAGTATTGTTTATGTGCTGCTTACAGAATTCATTTTTTCCTCTTCTTGCCTCAGAAGCAAGTTAGAACAGAAAATAGGATGAACAAGCAAAACAAAAGTCTAAGGAAAACTTGAGATGTAAAAGTAAAATGTTCCCCAAGCCTTCATTTCACCTGTGATTTAGTTTAGGAACCAAAAAATGTACATCGATTTGACGAAACAGAAAAGGAGTTTAAGTGTTGTATCACGTGGTCTGATTTTTCTGATGCAAATATTCCAAGCTCATTTGCAAGGTGGAAACCCGCTTCACTTTTTTTTTTCCCCAGATACACCTATGACCAAAAATACAGGGGGTCACCTAAAAAAATTTTATAGAACCGGAAGGCACTTTGCCAACCTGGGCCAGGATGATTCAGAACCAAGTTCTGTCATCCAGAAAAGTAAATCAATCTAACTGAAAGTATATGTTGAACAAAGTTTTATAACTAGCTTCAAAATTCAGTGATGAAGATAAATACTGTTGCAAGGAATTATCTTATTCTGCAAGAGAACAGTATTTTCCATATCTGGAGATAGAATGACAAAAGGTTTTAGTGTATTTGCCATAGAATATAAAAATTTTGACACAACAAAAATGGTGGAAGAGAACAAGGGTGAAAAAAAGAATGCTGGAATACTAGCTGCTGTAAGCATACTTATTTCTTTAAAGACTAATGTATTGCATTTTTACCAGTATTAGTGATGGAACTTGAAAGATCATGAGAGGACCAACGCCAATACAGAGGCTTGCAAAAACTCTCAAACTACTTTCCTTTAAACTTTCACATATGTCACCTAAAAAAATATCCCCACATTCCATAACAACTTCAGTTTAGTAATTAGACAATTCTTACGATTTGAGAAGGCCAAGGCAGAAGACAATTCAAGGATTCTATATGAACAAAATGTAAGCCATTATTCTGCTTTTAAAAGTAAAGAAACAGAATTAAAGAAACATCTATTTTGCTGTTCTCAAATATTGAAGGTGCCATGGAATGTCACCACCAGAAAGGCTTCACCTAAAAGTCTTTTGGCTCTATATTTACCAAGAATTTTAAGAATTAAAAACCAAAATTTAAGGGAAGTAGAATTGTCCACTTTGCATTTTTACAGAGTAGAATTAAATGGGCACACAATTATTTAACTATGCCTTGAATTTTCCTCTTGGCACTCAGCTTCACAGAATCATAGAATAGTTTGGGTTGGAAGAAACCTTAAACATGATCTAGTTCTAACCTCCTCTGCATGGGCAGGGATACCTCCCACTAGACTAGGTTGGTCAAAGCCTGTATGTCCAGGTGGAGGCCTCCTGCAGCAGGCGGCTGAGCTGCAGGAAACAGTGAAAAGGCAGAAAAGGAGGTAAGACAGCTGGATCCAAGCGCTGACTGCAGCAAACTCACACACTATGGCCAAACAGCCAATGACTCCTGCACTGGCACACACAGAAAGGAGGGAAGGTTTGGTGATCAGGTAGTGAGGTGGATCCTGAACTGGTTGAAAGGAAGAAGTCAGAGAGTTGTAGTCAATGGGGCAGAATCTGGTTGGAGGTGTGTGACTAGTGGAGTCCCTCAGGGGTCGGTACGGGGACCGGTGTTGTTCAACATCTTCATCAACGACCTGGATGAGGGTATAGAATGTACCCTC